ACACACACACACACACACACACACACACTTATAAGTTCTTTGACTATGTCTATGGTCTCTTTTGTCCTTTTGCTTAACCTACCCTTTAACTCATAACCGACATAACAAACTCATAATTATGTCCGATGAGCATCAGGTCAAAGTTCATGTTGCGGCACTTGTCGAAGCGCAACACACAGTAAACTAGAAACACCAATTTGCATGAAATATTCTCTAGCATACACAATTTTTGCCTTCTTTTCTTTGAAGTTGCAGATAGGGAAAATAAAATAGAAAAAATTCGGCATGAATAACGAAGTAATACTTCTTCTTATCTATAATGGCCACCCAATCCCCACACCCCCCTAAAACACCCCCAAAGCAACAAACACCCCCCTCCCCCAAATGACAAAGACCTCCCCTTCCCCCCCCCCCCAGAAAAGACGCCTTCAGTGTGTTGACCCTTGATTAGCTCCCCTTTTCTCGAACCACAAATAACGTATCAAGAATAGTTGAAAGATTGCTGTTTTTAGAAAGCATGACTTTTGACCTTATAGCAATGCCCTGCGCCCCTTATTGGCCTCTTTTTTTATGCGCATTGATCAATGAAATAAAAAATCCTTATCCACTTAAGCCTGCGTTTTTAAAAAAAACTATGCCCTGACCCCTTGTTGACGTCTTTCTGTATGCCCAATGGCCACTGGAATAAAAATCCTTATCCAGTTTAGTTTAGCTTGCTTAAAAAAACAACAACTTGTTGACATCTATCTTATGCCCAATGGCCAATAAAATAAAAATCCTTATCCACTTTAGCCTGCATTTTTAAACAATGCCTTGTGCCAGTGTTTGACCTCTTTCTTCTACCCATTGGCCAACGAAATAAAAATCCTTATAGACCTCAGCCTGCTTTTGTTTAAAAAAGCCCCTCAGCCCATAATTGAACTCTTCCTGACCCAATGGCCAATGCAATAAAAATCCATATCGACTTTAGCCTGCTTTAAAAAAAAATGCCCTGTGCCCCTTGTTTATCTCTTCATTATACTCAATGGCCAAAGAAGTAAAAACCCTTATCGACCTCAACCTGCTTCTTTTTTTAAAATGCCCCTCTGCCCATTGTTGATCTCTTTCTGTATACCCTATGGCCATTGAAATAAAAATCTGTATCCACTTTAGCCTGCTTTTTTCAACAATTCCCTGTGCCCCCTTTTGACCTCTTCATTACGCCAAATAGCCATTGAAATAACAATCCGTATCGACTTTAAACTGCTTTTTAAAACAATTCCCTGTACCACTTGTTGACCTCTTTCTGTATACCCGCTGGTCTTATCCACTTTAGCCAGCTTTTTAAAAAAATAATTCCTTTTTGTCCCATTGACCTCTTCCTTATGCCTAATGGCCTTCAAAATAAAAATCATCATCCACTTTAGCTTGCTTTTTAAAAAAAATGCCCTGTGCCCCTTGTTGACCTCTGACTGACCATTGTCCAGCAGTTCTGAGAAGGACAACCACATGAAAGTGACCAGCAAGATCGCCGAGCTGGTGCTGCTCACGGGGGAGACTATCAACATCACAGACGCCTCTCGGGACCCACGGCTCGAGCACGAGGTGAGACTTTTATAATAATATAATGTGGAGCATCGTGGTGAAATCAGGCGCTCGGCAAGATACTGAAATCAAGTAAATCTGCATTTTTTTTTCAGGCAGTTTTGCATTTTAAAAAAATAATTCTTTTTTTCTCACATTTCTTTTATGCTCAACACTTTTTATGTCCGTTAAGAACACATTTCTGTGTAGATTAGATTTGACAGAAAAACGTTGAATAAAAGCACAAAAAATGTAAATTTGCAGTTCCCAAGGACACTCACAGATAGATCGGTATTTTTTCATCGTAAGCAAGACAAATGAGCTGTTTTTAACAAGATGCCAGTAGCTCCATCAGGTGGAATCAGGTGCTCACGATTTTTTTGGGGCATTCGACAGAGTTATTGGTATCAACTTAAAGCTTGTTCCTTTGTCTTGCTTTTGATGACACAAATACCCATTAAATCTTCCATAGAATTCAAGATATTTTCAGTTGAAGGAAGTGAGGGTCGCCTTCTTGTCAGAGGTAAAATTAACGAGAAAATGTCCTCCAAAATTTTTTGACATCAATATTTTGAGTGTCTTTGGAAACTGCAAATGCACACATTTTTTTTACACCTCTGATTAACGTTTTTCAAGAAAAATCCGCACATAAATGTGTTTTCAAATTGACATAAAAAGTGTTGGACCAAGAAAAAAAACCCCGATGAAAGATGCCCGATCACGGTTAGGGGAGGGTGGAGGTAGGGGTGGGGGATGTCTGTTTCTTCGTTTCCATCATTGTGACGAATTTTTACTTTGTGGATTTGTTTTTGTGTGTATTTTACGCCATCATCCACACAATTTAAACCGTAAAGGAGGCAGGCTTCTTACTCTGCCTGTCAGGGCCAACCCGGGCAGAGAGGGATACAACATCCCGACAGAAAGACCTAGATTCTCGATAAAAAAAATCTTCCCCACTCGGGAATTGAACTCTGGTCTCCTTTGTGAGACAGTGAAGCACCTAACCAAAACACCACCAGCGCAATTTCTGGGCTTTTGGCTATAATAATAATAAAATAATAATAATAATCGTAATAATAATATCAACAACAGCAACAACAATAATGAAGATGATAATAACAATAATGATAATAATAATAATAACAATAATAATAATAATAATAATAATAATAATAATAATAATAATAATAATAATAATAATAATAATAATAATAATATCAACAACAGCAACAACAGCAACAACAACAACAATGAAGATGATAATAATAATAATTATTATTATAAAATAATAATATTAATGATGTTAGTGTGAATTTATGTAGTGCCTATCCCTGACAGTCTCTCAGCGCTCAGTAGTGCAGAAATATAATATATTTTGAACTGTACAATTAACAATTTTTAAAAAAATCCTAAATATTATGCGCATTGTGAGACCATTTACCACCACCATCACCACCACCACAACCCCCACCAACAACAACGGCAATATCAAAAACAACACCAACAGCAAAAACAACAACAACAACAACAACAACAACAACAACAACAACAACAACAACAACAACGACAACAACATCGACAACAACAATTACAGCAACAGCTACCTGTCTAAAACAGCAATTTATCCCTCGACAATGGGTGGCCGTCTTAGACAGTATGGACTGTATGTTAGCCAGCAATATCGTTATGAAAATTATTATTATTATTATTATTATTATTATTATTATTATTATTATTATTATTATTATTATTATTATTATTATTAATTTGTCCTTCCACAGACAGAGAACGTTAAGGGCATTCACACAAGGTCGGTGTTGTGCAAGCCAGTACGAAATCGTCACTTCCAAATCATCGGTGAGTTTTGTTTATTTTTGTATATATATATATATATATATATATATATATATATATATATATATATATATATAAATAAATATATATATATATATATATATATATGATTTTTTTTATAAGCTAATACGTAGTAATATTAAATACACATCTCGCATTGCTCATTACTCTTTTACTTCCCTATCGTCATTTCTGCTTTTTCTATGTAGTTGTTGTTTTTTTGACACCCCCTACCGATACAATTTAGATTAATTAAGGGGCCTGCTTTCAACCCTGACTGTTAGGGCCCACCCGGGCTGAGAGGGATTTCATAACATCCCAACAGAAAGATCAAGATACTCAATAAAAATGTTGTAATCACTCGAGAATCGAACTCGGGCCTTCTGCCAGCGACAGTGAAGCGCCGGAGGTGAGTTTTGTTTAAAAGCTAGTATATAGGCCCTACGTAGTTATTATTAGTAAAAGCGGCGTGGAAAGGAACTGGCCGCTGTACTAGAATGCGCCGAAGGTATAAAAAGTTGTCTCACTAACAAGGCAATCCCCAATGTCCTGATCGGATGCGGGAACAACTTTTTAATTATATTAAGTGCACAGCTCTCAAACTTTATTAACCTTTTACTGTCCTATCGTCATAGACTCTTTTTCTTTCCTATCAAGCATCTAGAGTACATATAAATTCTCATTCTTTTATTTGTATGTTACTGTCTAGTAACACTTATATTATGATATCTTAGTGTTGCAAGCGTCATTAAACTCTTACCAAAAAAACAAAAAAAAAAAGAAAAGAAAAAGAAATCCTTAGACGTGTCCGATGGCATCCTAGACCGTGAACTTGAATGTAATTCCGGTTGGCTCTGAAGCCCCCATTTGACTCAATTTGGATCCAGATGAAGGCCACGGGGCAAAAGTGCGCACACGCTCGCCTATAGTACGGTCAAAAATCCGTGGCGCAACTTATTGTTAGATATCTCCTCAACTATCGAACTTAGCTTCTCCAACGTATGCACTTGAATCAATTTGTACAATATCTTTGTAAACACCCCTTAGCTGTATTCTAGAAAATTCCTTAATATAAAAAAAAAATCCACATGGGTGGTTTCTACATATTTTAAAACGTTAACAGCTGGGGAAATATTATCTTTATTGAACGCATGTTTTGAAAACCTTTAGCGCAAAAAATGTGTTCAGTATAAAATAAATTTCTTGTAAAAAGTTTTGCTACTAAATATTGACATTGGTTACCTGCTGTGAAGTAGGCCATATGCGTATGCAAAACATGTGTGAGAAGCGGGAAGTGCTGTGACCAATCCTATTTTCCGCATGACTGAGATTTATAGTGTTCTAGCCTCAATTGTTGTGGAAAATATGATTAAGTTAAGACAAATTGATACAAACTGTTGTACAACGTATGAGTGACATTGATTTACCCGTTAAAGAGATATTTGAGGATAAGTTGTGCCACGAAATATTGACAGCACTTTAGCTGGGGTTTTGGTCTGTCATTTAGACGTCGATGACAAGCACGCTTCTCAGCGAAATTTTCATAGACAGGTCTGTACCTTAGAATTACAAAGTTCTATCCGCTCACTACCTAGTTTTGAGTAATTTGACGTAAACCATTTTGAGTTTCACAATATGTCAAGGTTTTTTTTCGAAAGCAATTCTTTGAATATCTTGATATCAACTCCGAATAGTCTGACAATTTGTCGCAGATACGAATAGTCTACAGTTTCAATGAGGCTGCCTTTGTTTATGACGACAGATATAAAATTTGGTTTTTGACCCCTTGGTCTCAGTAATTAAACAACGGCCTTAAATGTCAGATAGAACGTTGTAATTCTAAAGTAGCGAGTAATGAGCGGTGACAATGACGGTACACCGTCTAGGATAATATTATAATTTATAATTTAAGTCAACGCTTCAAAGTTACCGATTAGTTAGTTCAAGGGTCAGTGAGCATTCGTTGCATAGCTTTAAGTTGGTAAATGTTTTTACCTGCCCACTGGCATAAAATCGATGACGTTTTGGGAGCAGGTACACAGACTACTGAGACACTGTATTTTCATATAGGTGTATTTATACATCCATCGACACAATTTAGATAATTTAGAACGCAGGCTTTAACCTTGCAAGTCTGCGCCGACCCAGACTTTAAAAAAGGGATACAACATAATAGCGAGATCCTAGATAACATTCTTCTCTCACGGAAATCGAACTTGGGTCTCCTGCGCTCGTCGGCACTGCGAATGGGCAAGAGAGTGACAAACATACAAAAGAAGTAGAGGAAAAATTGCAATAGTTAGGAAGAGGAAAGAAACAGCAGAAGTTCCCCCTATTTTTTCCCGGCACAGTATGAGCATGGCATTGATAAATCAGCCAATTTACAATTCTGTTGTGAATAAGAACATGTTAATGTCCCCTCTTTGGGAATGGTCTAAAGACAATTCAGTCAGAAGCACTGGCCTGTGGGCGGGGGTGGGGGT